TTGTGGAGCTCAAGACGTCCGTAACACACACAGATATATACATACAATACCTTCTCTCGTTTAGGTGCTGAAGAAGAGCTTGGATGCCACACGGGCTACTGTTGTTGACTGCGCTCTCATCAAGGAACATTGGTGCTTGGCGCTCCAAAGGCAACTTTGACCGAAGCCGAAAATGACTGCCACCCCTTCAATCCTGCCTGGCAGTTCCATTCAAGCAAAAAGGCGCAAATACAGGCGTCCGTCTTTAAGCCAAGTAGCCCCGGACTGATTCGCTCCGATACCCCTGCTCAGCTGCTCAACGCAGCATTTCATCCGACGATAGATCCATTCTTCTATCAAAAAGACCGATAGACAACCTAATTCCCTCCGCTTTCCTTTGCCAACGCACCTCACGCACTCGTCCCTTTCTTCTCCTTCTGCATCTCTATCAAACAGCTCTCCAAAACATCACACGCGAAATCCAACTCCTCAGTCTTGACAATCAAGCTGGGTACGATCCTTACCGCATCCTTGCCAGCGGTCAAGATCAACACTCCTCGCTCCCTCATCATCTTCAACAGTATACCAGGGTCGGCCGAATCCTTGAACCCAAGACCCGTGAGGAGTCCTCGACCACGAACCGAAGGTAAGAGGAGTGTAGGGAAGAGGGTGGGAAGCGGGGCGAGTCGGGCGTGTAGATGAGAGGCGGCATCCCGTACGTGAGAGACAAAGTTGGGCGCGGATAGGCGAGAGAGGACGTGATGCCCTAGACGGGTGGCGAGTGGCGAGCCGCCAAATGTTGTTCCATGGGAGCCTGTTATACAAATTGTGTAAGCGCCAAAGTACCGAATGGAAAAATACAGAGGAAGACCCACCAATTGCGATATGCGGCGCGAACTTCTCTCGGAGCATGATGGCTCCAATCGGGTAACCGTTGGCGAGTGGCTTGGCCATGGTCACTATATCCGGTTGACAGTCCTTGGGATACGATGAGTGGGCCCAAAGCGTTCCAGTGCGATATAAACCGCACTAGAGAAAGGCAGGCACCTACTGTCAATCATCAGCCTCTCCAGATCCAATGATTGCACGCACCTGGATCTCATCAAAGATCAAAACTGCGCCGACCTCGTCACATCTCTTCCTCAAAGCCCTTAACCACTCCAAATTCGCAACGGCCAATCCACCCTCTCCCTGGATCGGCTCCACGATGACACCACACGTATCTTCTCCGATCAATTTCTCCAGTCCTTCAACATCGTTCAGTTCACCGACATCGATACCAGGTATAAGCGGCTCGAATGGTTGTTGATACTTCGGATTCGGGGTCGCTGACACTGCGCCCATGGAACGCCCATGGAACGCGTTGGCGAAGCACGCAATCCGGTACTTCGGGCATGCTTGAGTGGTTGACGCATTCGGTGCGTCCGTAGACGGTGGCGTCCAAGCTTGACCTAGAGTCTTCTGAGACCAAACCTCTTTCCCAATCTTTCGAACGAACTTGAACGCTCCCTCGTTCGCCTCAGTCCCAGAGTTCGCAAAAAACACCTTCGCTCCATCTTCGCCATCCTTGGATAATCCAAGCCCTCCTTCCCGCTTGGTCACCTCGACGATCAACCCAGCCAAACTCCCAGCCCACTTGTTCCAGAACACATTGCTCGTGTGCAAGAGCGTTGCTGCCTGCTCGCCCATCACCTGAGCGAATTCGGGGTCCGCATGGCCGAGAGCGTTGACGGCGATACCGGAAGTGAAGTCGAGGTATTTTCTCTCCTCGACATCAGCTGTCTTCGAATCGGAAGTAGGGACCGTATACACCCAAGACCCTTTGCCGTGCGATAATACAAACGGAGGTCTAGCGTAGACCTGTAGGACATTCTTGGGGGAAGCTGAGGCGGTGGGAAGTGCACCGTCTGGATGGGTAACGGACGTGTATGCCGTGCAAGGAGCCTCCGTTATTATGTGAAAAGGTCAGAAATAAGTAGTGGGAGGTAACACGTGGTCAGGTGAAGCTCACCTTTGTTGAGTTGAGTCTTCTCGTGACAAATCTCGTTGAGGGAGGGAGAGAGAGTGGTTTTCGTGGCAAAGATCGTGAGGCCCGCATTTCGCTTCCTGTTCGGATTCCTGAAGTTGTAGTTCCGTAAGTTTGTTGGGTGTTTAGGTGAGTGTGGAAGTTTAACGCTTCAAATAAGCCAGAGTATGAAGAATATCCTGACGAGTCTCCGAGATCAGATCCTTCGAGAAGAGAGGCGAAGGAGGTTGCGATACGTAAAAGAAAGAGAGGAAGGGCGGTCGTTGAAATTTCATTTCACAGGCAATGAACAACGGACTTAGTGCGTCGATTTCGGCCGACCGTTCCTCAACTGCTTTGCGTGTTGTGACTCTAATAGCTAGTCCTTTATGCGTATAATAAACAGAGTAGATACTTGAGATCCTGAGTTGTTGTATATATCGAAGTTGCCAAGCCTATGAATTCTTGGCATTAGCGATAAGTTGGGTAAGGCACGAGGTTCACTCACATATGTAAGTCAAAGTTGATGTTAGAACCAGCCCACCGCTTTCAGCCTGGTTATTGCGCTCCCATTATTCAATCTCGACCGGTCCTTAACTGACCTCTGCTGTGACTTCAACTCCAGTTCCGTTGGCATCTTCGTCTACAATAATAGTGGCGTTACATAGATCTCTCCCGCTTCCTCATCGAGTTAAAGTAGACTTTAAGCTGAGGCACGCGGACGTCACCAACCCTTTCACTTAGCATGACCGGAGTCCAAACCACTGGAAGAAAAACGCCAGGAAATGTTATAACAGATGGCGCAAACGCTACTCGCTCTGTTCTCATTTCTGGCGTCGAGAATCTGAGGGCATCAATCTCGGCGCTCACCACTGCACCTTATGGCGGATTGCTAGACAACAATAATCCGTCGGTCGGGCTTCCGGGAGGAGACACAGCACTACTATCAATCTAATTGGCAGCTCATTTGCTTAGTGCTAGAACGTACGCTGCTGAGAAGGCCCTGCTCTCAGCTCAATCTGTTTCAGATCAGCCATACATAGCCACATCCCGAAAGCTGGCCACACGCAAAGGGCCAAAGAAGGCAGGGATTTGGAGCCACTGTGTAGAGATAAGATGGAGAAACCTGGGGTGAGCGCAACAACTGATCTCATATAGCGCGATGATATCAAGCCAGCTCCAACCTTATTCCATATGTGGCCTAGACTTATTTAGGGGTGTTGCGAATAGGGCGGAATGAGCACTGGGAAAGCGTACGAACCTTGAAGAACACCCTCAAGATGATCGGAAGTTAACCATTACGGTCATTACCGACGCTTCCTTCCGCCACCACCAAGGATTCGATCTAGCTGCTCTTGCCGACGAGGGGTCTCCTCGCTCAAGGCCGGAGCTATTCACGGCCAAAAAGACCGACCTCTTTACGAGCTTTAGAGATCGACTGGCAGATCACTTCAAAATACCTGCGCAAAACATTCGGTTTTGGATATTGAACGCGAGAGAGAACAAAACAAGACGGCCTGGGACCTTGATACGAGACGAAGACTTGGAGCTTCGTGAGCCTACTCGCTTTCAGTTTCTCTTTGCTTATCTGACATCTTCCACAGTGCTTGGGACGATTCGGCGCAAAAAGGCGGGGAGTCAGGCTGATCTCTGTCTATACCTAAAATTGCTTCCAGAGTCAACTCGCCGAGTGCGTTAAAGTTTAAACATATTTTAACATGTAACTAATGGCATATATTTTATAGGGCATTGCGGCCCCGCCGCCTAATCAAAGGCTGCTCTCCTTCAAGTATTTTAACGCTGAGGAGCAAACAATCACGGGTGCTTTCAAGGTGCTCGTCGACGTAGAACTGGCCATTTCCCATTTGTGTGACATCATATGTAAACGAATGCGCTGGCCGCATAAGATGCAGCTTCGACTATGAGGTGTGTGGGGCAACGTGGGCTACGATCCATCACTCACAACGCTGTCTCCCTATGACTTCCAGGAGATTGCACCCGAAATAATCGTTTCGCTGGATGGACTACCCTCATCTCTGAAAAGCTGGGAACCCGGCACTGGGGACATCATCTGTTCCTGTCTTGAAAGGTCGATAGACGAGTGGGCCTGCTAACTAACTTTGCTCAGCATGGAGATAGTACAAAAACCATAAATTGATATGGTCCTATTTGAATACCGATAGAAAGTTGGCTTTGACGGGGCGCGGTCTGTGTGCAACTCCGCGCGAGTTGTATGCGACCATTCAACACCGAATATCTATTTTTTTCGGGCCTCGATTTCCCCAAGATCGCGTGTCCTTCCAGCTGGATCTTTGCAAGGACATGTCCCACGAACAGGTCAGCAGCACAATCGAACAATTTCATACTCGCTCATCTAAATGTGTCACTATGCGTGAATAGTTTGCGTCGGCAGTGGCTGAGCCACTCCAACACCCTGCGAACAAGATTCGATTCTTTTCTTCAAATTATTAGGATATCCAAACGAGTGGGACCCGTGCCAGACCGTGCAGGAGCTGATTCAGCCAATCTCTGGCCTGCCGGGCCCTGAACCAGTATGAGCTACTGGACATCGGTATTACCAGGCTTCATACTTAGACGTCTGCATCTACTGTACTTGTATTAGTGAGCCGGATGTGAGCCCAGAAGTCCCGCCTCACGCTCAGGCCATTCGATTTTTTCGATGTGTGAGTTTAGCTTACAGGTCCGAGTTCCGAGATCGTCACCCATTAGCACATCAGTTGTGACAGGCTTTCTCGATAGAATTGCTTGGGGGCAGGGTGTGTGTATGTGCGTATGTGTGTGCAGACGAATGTCTGATGTGCTTATAGTATGAGCAACGTAAACTGTACAGCCCATTGTCAGTCCTCCCATTCCATAAAGCTGGGGCAAAGTAGTACACCTTCCCGGACATAGATGATGGAACGGAACGATGAATGTCTAGTAGAATGAGCTACACCATTGAGGACGTAGCTTATACTGTGATTGAGACTAATATTTGGATTCATTATAACATCAAGTCTTCATGGTGTAGTGGTTATCACGTGTCCTTCACAGGTCAGCCCCTGTAGCTCGGACAAGGTCTCCGGTTCGACCCCGGATGAGGACATCTTTTGGTAGTCTATCTAGATGCTCACCCGAACGCGCTATTGTTTTTGGCTGCAGCTTCCTAAATTGAGGGCCGTACGTCTCTATATGACTGACGTAGTGGCTGCCCTGCGATTACTTCTCAGACTCAACCCAATCAGTGATGTGCATATCCGAAGGCATAAAAGGCGCCCACAGATCCTCCCGTCGCATGGCAGCGATACGGCGCAGTGGATGCTTATGATCATCGAAATCATCGCTCGGAGGATAGGCGCATTTGAAGATAGGTATTAATGCAGCAGGTTTCTACACCTCATTTATCCTATATCTATTTCTCTCTCTCTACAGCAGGCCAGTCGAACAGCCGGAGTTGTGATCTGTGCGGCCATAGGGAAATCCCCGGGTCTCCGTCCGTTTCAATTCTGACCCAATATTTGCACTTCCCAGCCACGGCCGAATTGCATGCACTTCTCCTGCTCTGATCATTAACATCCGACGGGTAGACTATCAGTCGGAAAGCAGCTCATCAGACGCGAATGGTATGACTCTCGGTTTGCGTATTCGGTCTCAAAATGGTTCATTGACCCGAATTTCATATCATACAGCGCGACGTGCGCACACTTCATGCGCAGAGCCTCGTCATCTGCTCTGAAACTCCTTCACTTCGATCAGTCACGGAATCCATGTATTGCGAGCCGTCAATTCCTTACTGCTTCCCGCTACTCTTCGGCCACTGCCTGCATTATGCGCCACAAAACGGATATGGGACAGGATTATCATGGTCGAGGCTTCAACCAGCAGACGCCTGTCCTTCCGTATACTTCTCGCCAAAGCCCCATTCCAATACTCGGAGTGTCAAGTACAAGCCTACCAGACGATTACCGGCCCAGGACAGAGAGAGTGATCAAGCAGGCAACCTCAGCGACAGGCCAGTCAAAGTGGCCGTCCTCAGAGGACAAGCATGCTTCATCTGCACCCAACGTCATCCCAAACGCAAAGGGCGAACAAGACCGCCTGTCAGCTCCCGATCCCGGCCAGAATCGCCAGCCCTCCAAACCGGCTTGGAAAACTCGCAAGCGACGAGACCCTGCGTCAAGAAATCGTCGCCTTCTTCCTCTAGCTCGCGCTCTGAAAGATGGGGCCACCGAGCGAGCTTGGGCGGCCTATCAGGAACTTCGCGCTCGCGACAGCGATGCGATTCAAGACGATCACCTACATACCCTATTCGCTCTATTGACAACGAACAGCCCAGTTATAACGCGGACGATTTACGATCGTCTCCACGATATTATTCATATTCTTTGTCACAGAGGTCCTGGGCGTGTCAGAGAATGGGAATGGAACGCGTTGATGAGTGCTGCAGCGAAAGGTTTCAGGACGACCACCAAGGCAGACTATCAGTCTGCTGTCACCGTTTTGGAGGAGTGGGTGAAGGAAGTGGAAAGAGACAGGCAGTCGAAGTCATCTCAGTTGAAAGCTGGCCAACCTGGAGCTGGAGTCGGAGCTCAGAGAGGAAAGCATTCACAGACGTCGGTCGTACCCACTACCGAGCCCAAAGTAGCAAAGCTCGTTCCTACCATAACGACCTTCAACATCCTTATCAGCATTGCTTGCCACACCCACGACTTCAAGCTCGTTCAAGATGCGTACCTACGCTGGAGACTGCATCGACCTCACCTGCACGCCGACCGATACACGTATCTTCCGCTAATCACATGGCGCATTCGCAAACACAAGCTGCACAAGGTCCCCGCATTGGTGGAGCAGATGGTAAAGAAGCGGTTCGGCATCGGGATCGACGGCGTGAACGCCATTATATGGGCATACGCCCGGTTACGCGACGCAACCACCGGGTCAAGAGCAGGCCCCGATGTCGCAATGGAGATCTACGATTTCCTCTTAGAGAACGACCGCCGCAGGACTCTGGTGGCCCATGATCCCCGTTCTTCATCCTTATCCAAACTTCGACGTGCAAGAACTTCCGACTTCCTTTATAATCCCATCCTTGGCATCCCAAAACTAGTCGAAACACTTCGACGCGTTGTCCCAGATTACAGAACCCATATCATGATTATTCAACATTACTCCTACCGAGGCGACCTCAGTACTGCTCTACGAGCTTTACAGAACCTCCTCGATCTGCTCAATCGTGAGCAAGACCTGAAGTCGCCGAGTGACCGCTCAATGGGGCCATTTATCTTCCAGGAGCCCATCGAGGGTCAGCTCATGAGCGCTTTCCGGGGTCTGTTCAAAGCCTTTGCGAAGTATGGACCTAGGGGTACAGGGAGAAGTCTGAGGACGCATCATCCCCTGTCTCTTCAGGAAGCGACCACTATGGGCGTCCAGTCGAGTGTTACCCAAGGGGATCCTTCATCATTACCCTTCCATTCGGCTGTGACTGATGTCCCCAACCAACAGTTTACGCTCAACGCCCTCCTCTACGTCTTTCACACATACATGCAGCTTAGCTCCAGCCACCCATTTGCCTCTTCCCGTCGGCTTCCACCCGTTTCCTTTGTACGCGACATTTTAATGGCCTTTACGCACGCTGGGTTTGGGGACAACCTTTTGGCGAATCGGGAGCTTATGAGAAGCGTATGGCAGAAAGTTGTTCGGGACCGATTGGTAGTGTGTGGTGATGAATGGGAGCAGGTCAAGAATATCTGGGTTTGGAAGAAAGTTCGGAGGGATTTCCGGATTGATCTGACGTGGGAGAGGTTCTCGGAGAACGAGGATGTAGATGCAGCTTCAGATTCGATTGAGAGGGAGGTGGGCCCGTCCCCTGTGCTAGAGAGGCGTCGTGTTTCCGGATGATACATTGTGGTTGGGGAAAGCTTTTGTGTGCCGTGTATCTGTTGATATGTTTAGCCTGCTTACATGCGGTGCTATCATCGTTCTCGCTTCGCAGAAATTCGCCGGAGATCGAGTAAGTTCAAGGCAGTCACGGGTTTCTCACACCGGTCAACATCCGCGTTTCCCTCCCCTCCGCCGCATTCCCTCTCGTCTTTCCTATCTTCCTTCCGTTCCTGATGTCGGACGAGTGTACACAGGAACACTGTTTTTATGCATTTGACGCCTTGTATTGTCACTTGAACCCGTCAGCTAAGGCGATCCAAGCCGATTTTCCAGATGCGAAGTACCCCCTGTTCGTCACTTGGAACATCTTCAACACGAGGTCATCATCACCCAGATTGCGTGGATGCATCGGTAGCTTTCAACCCATGGATCTTAAGTCAGGTTTGCAAGAGTACGCCCTTATAAGGTGAGGGATTGAATCCACAGACATAGTTGGAAGCTCCCTTTGCTGACTGACTGATCCGCTTCGGTCGTGCACCAGTGCTCTTAATGACAGTCGATTCCGACCCATCCAGTCTCATGAACTCAGCAAATTGGAATGCGGGTAAAGAAAGCACACATGCGATTGCTTCCTATATGCGAATCCTTCGTATGTAGGTTGCCGCAGTAAATCCCCATTCCTAACATAGCCCATTCTCTTTCTCTATTTCAGCGTGTCTCTTCTTACGGACTTTCAAGATGTCCCAACCTACCTCGACTGGAACGTCGGACAGCATGGGATCTATATATCTTTCCCACATCCATCAACGTTGGTGGTCATGCCGTCTTCGTCGGGAGACACTACACCGTCGTCGGCGTCATCATCAAACCTGAACCTCGTATCCACGAGGAGGAGTCGTACATCAAGGATCAAAGAATCCCTCACTGCGACGTATCTTCCCGACGTCGCTCCAGCACAGGGATGGACCAAGACAGAGGCGGTAGACAGTGCGATCCGGAAGGCAGGTTGGGATGGGAAGATTACGGAAGAGATTAGACGGAGTGTGAAGATGCGAACGTACGAATCGAAGAAAGCCGAGGTTACTTGGGACGAGTACTGGGCTTGGCGGCTAAGCAAGGATCCCGCCTCATCTAGCGCACTCTATGGGGCTATGGGCTGATTGGGATTTTTCTTTCAAGTTCTCGAACTCGAACACACCCCAAAGAACTGCATTATTATCTGAATGTAACATCGACATTTAAAGGACTCTTCAATCCAGATATGTCAATTGTAGGAGGAGAACGGTGTCGGTTTGTCAAGAAAGAAGGCGTAACTTAGTAGATAATTCGCCCTACCACCGCTTCTCTTCATGCGGAATGGGATAATCTATCCTGTTGGCGGCCCCGGTTCCCGCTCCTCAGCAATAATTAACAAGGCGTCGAACATACTGTATCTTGTGTCGGAATGGAACGATCACAACGATTTACTAATAGCCAGCTTTGAGTGAGAATATAATTGGATACGATATCGATAGATTAATAAGGCCAAAGGCAATATGATACTTCATCATCATGATATTGATCGTGAATGGAGACAAGTCGAGAGGGAACTGCAAGACTCAAAACCTGTTGGGCCGTTGCGGTGGCTCGTCCTCGTCCTCCGATTCATTTTCCACAGAAGTTGGTGGACGCGGGTGGTAGCGAGGGAGACTATCTAAGGGTCGCGTAACGAAGAAGCCATTCTGCGCGGCTCGCTTCTCTCCCTGTCTAGCGAATCCATACCCAGTGCCAACACCCCTCGAGCTCGCTGTCTTCTGACCCATCTCGTCTGTGGACTTGTAAGTGACTCCAGTATTTGACCTTCCCAGTCCACCGGCCTTCTCGTTCCCATTGCTAAAGATCGACCCCTTGGAGGTCTGGAGTGGCCTGATCTCTTGCCCGAATACTCGGACTGAAGTGGGCAACATCTCCTGCGCTTTCGCGTTGCGGAAGGAAAGGATCGACCGTTTCTCCTTGATGGAATCCCTGAAGACAAGGCCGAGGAGGATGTTGAAGCAACCGATGACAAAGAGGAAGAAGCCTGCGACTAATGGGAAGTCGTCGACGTGATGGGAAAGGATAGATGCGGCGGTGATCCATTGGATACCTCCGAGGATGCCGACACCAAAGTTTCGTCCGAGGATGGGGAGGTAATCTTCAAAGAATTTGTTCGGCCAACCGACTTCGGAGAGGATCATCATGATGGTG